GGAATTTCCTTAAATCAGGGTCTGCTTCTAACATGAACTTCTCACCTTCTTCACTGCCTAATTTTATGAGGGTGTGCACCCATGGGGCCTGTATTTCTGGATCTGTTAGTATATGAGCGATTGCCTAATCTCTTCTTGGTGCTTACGGTTGCACAAAGAAAAGAGGTTGGATGCTGGATACCTGGTTGGGGCTAAAGGGCACATGTAGGAAAATCACCCTCCTCAGGATTAATAGGCTTATTAATGATAAGCAGATCCCTCCAAACCTTGATTTGAGAAAAGAGACATCTGCTTTATGTCAGAACACCTACTTGACCCATGCTCTAAGATGGCTTTGGCACTGCATCTCTCAAAGGAGAAAAAAATCCACCCTGTCACAGAGAGCTCTGAGCTGCCTGCAGTGTCACCTAGAAGCTCATTTATTCCTCTCTGGGCCACATGTTCAGGTGAAAGTAACAGACTTTCTGCTGTCTGTGCCCAATGCTCAAACTTCAGTCTTTGGGGTGGATATTCAGTAATACCTTGGTTTGCGAGCATAATTTGTTCCGGAAACAAACTACTCATATTACAAGACATTGCTCATTTACCACGTTAAAATGTATTAGAAATGTTTGCTTGTCTTGTGGGACACTCGCAAACGAAGTTACTCACAATCCAAGGTTTTACTGTATGTGTACATGTGCATGTGTATTGGTGTGTGTATGAATATGTAGGGTTGCATAAGGATTTGGGCTTATCTGAACATAAATACTGATTTGGCCCAATTCAAGTTCCTCCCCTTAACAGCACCTTGAAGAGGTCATATGACCTGAGCATACATAAGGATAACCAAAAATAAGTAAAAGAGTGAATCTTCTCTTTAGGATTAGTTTACTACAATTAACCTGTACATACATGTATATGGCAATTTACAAATAATATGCATATTTAACTTCACTGTGGTTCAGGGATCAATCACCAACCTTCCTCACTGGGACAACCATGAAGCCATCAGCCAAGAGTGGCTCTTTCTTTCCTCCTCCTGGATACTTCAACTCCACTATCTCTACTTGTCTGTCTGCTTCTTAGTGTTAAGGTTGAAAGCTTTACGGTCAAGAATTCTCTTTTCTCAACTTATCACAGCTTATGTCTGGTTCTTATGGGATTTATGTCTCAAATGCATAGAGCTGTGATCCTGTTGTTCTCTCATATTTCTCTTTTTAATAGGTGTTGCGCAATCACCAGGTAGAGTCTGTTGAAGTGTGACTCCTGCATGCGTTGATTTTTATAGTAGTGGGAGGAGTTTGGGATTGGGAGAAAGGACAAAGAAAGTACTGAGAGGAAGGGAGCAGCAACATTTTGGAACCAAAGGTGCAACAACAACATAATAGGTAGCACACATGTGCATGTGTGCGTGCACACACAAACTCACACACTTGGTTTTATAGTGTCATTGTGCCTCTCTGCTGACATAAATAATTTAAAGTTGCCTCCATATCTAATCTGGCTAGCACAACTCACAAGAACTTTAAGAAATACTTCCTCTAGTGACAATTGTTAAACTTCAGAATTGCTAAAGTAAAAATCTGTGAGGTATTTAAAAATAGGATAAGTCTCACCCTGATGGATGAGTTGTCTTCTTACATGAAGTGATGGGATGATGACTTCTCAAACTCTTTGATTCTGAGATCACTTAGAACTAGAGAGAAATTCCTACAGCAGGCCAGAGTTAAAAATGTTATTACAACTACACCACAGCTTAACGCATAGGCATCTAGTAATCATCTGATTCATTCTTATCCATTGCTCAATTACACACATGACTTTCTTTTATGAGATGCTGTCCTCAGCAGAAATAAAAAACAGGTTGTTTCAAAGCTGCCCATTCACGTGTCATCCACTACAACAAACCCTGGGAAGTGATATGAAGAGTAGAATTTTAATTGCGGATTCAGGGGCAAAGTTCTCACTGCTCCACTAACTCTGCCCCTGGCTGCACGTGCATTGGCTTAGGAGGAAAGATGAAAAGACCCACTCAGAGATGACTAAAAGGGTGTGGTGAGTGATGTAAGAACTTACAGATATTTGAGAGCTACAAAAATAGAAGGGAGTTGTGAGCACAGATAATTGTAAACTCTTAAAGTTAAGAAGATGGTCATTGTCAAGGTTACAAAGGCTAAAATCAACAATAAGGACATTCTAAAATGGTAGCTTTCTAGCTGTCACATAAGCCTAATTTCCAACAAGTTAAACTTGCTTCAAATATCTTTATTTAGTTCAGCTTTTTAAAACTCCCTAAGCAACATTTTAAATCCAGTCTTTATTTGTAGGAAGAAATATTCACAGTAACATTTTAAGAATACTTTCTTTCCCATGAGTTTCTACAGCATTATGAACAAGTTTACTTTTCCATTTAAATCTTCCATATATTTAGTGGTCTTAAAAGTGATTATTCAGATTTAAGCAGTAAAATAATCATGTGGCCTGAACTAGATCTAAAAGAAACTTGGGTAGAAATTATGCATATTGCTTATAAAAATGTGTAGTTGCATCGACCTTTTCTTACTGTTTCCTATCATGGGAATCTATATTTGTGGATTAACTATAGTGTTGTCTTCTAGGCAGATTTTCTTATCTACATTTCCTTATCTTTCTTGCTAATGTCACCTGTTCATCACTGCTGCTTAGAATGTTAGCCATGTGTTTATCTGTGGTCAAAAAAACCAGTGAATGACTTGACAAGGTCTTCCTCACTCACGGAAAGCCTATCTCCTGCCTTGTGGCTACCACCCGAAATATTTGACCAAGCTCTCCTTTCGTGAGTGTTGTCTGGTCAAATTGATGTTTGCTGCTTTTGTGTTCCATGATTCAGCCGATACACTGACTCAGCGGCAGCTGGTTTCAATACTGCCAATCCACTTGAATATATCATCTTACATTCTCAAAACACTTTCAGTTCAGAAAAAAAGTGACTGATACGGGGAAGAACATTGGATTAGCAATCAATGCCTGGTCTGAAGTAGGCATTCAATTAAAAAAAATTTTTTTAAATAGATGGATTCTAAACTCAGCTCTGTCACTATTTATCAAAGAGAACTTGGCAAGTTGCTTCATCACTTCGGGCCCATTCTTCATCTGTTAAAACCCTAGTCCACTGACATCAAGTTACGAAGAAGGGACTTTCATGAAAGAATTATCACCCTTGCTGGGCAACTGAGTTACCTAGGGGAGTTTCTACAACTGTTGATGCCCAGACTCTATTTCTAGAGATCAGGTTTCAATTGGTCTGGGGATGGGGCCCTGGTATTTCAATATTATGAAAACCACTCTCATGGTGATTCTAATGCTCAAGTAGGGTTAAGAACAGCTTCCCAGAAGAACCCTTTCTAGCACCTTTTCCCTTCCTATGGGAGAAAGACTAATTCATCTGCTTAGATGGCTGAAGTCTAATGATACTTGTTCCAAGTTTCTCTGTTGGGCAGCACTACAGGGTTTAAGATTTGACACGATCTCCTTTGGATCTGTGGTGTGTTCTGGTCAGCCTGTGGAATGCTATCTAGGGGTAGGCAGCCCCTGTAGGGGAGTGTTTGATTTGGTTGGTTACATTCAACTGAAGGAGAATATAAGCTCAATTCTGATTTGATAAAGCTGATTATTTAGATCCCTTTCTCAAGTCTTATGTCAATTTCTTATCAATAGTTTCAATTAGAGGAGAGAAAGGGTGTGATAAGCCACATCGACCAACTTCACCAAACCTAGTCTTACCCGTGTCATGAGGATTAAATAAGGCAGGTTTTTGAATGTGCTTTGTAAATATTAATGAGCTACCCAGATGTGTACTCTTACCTAAGGTTTCCCACAAGATCTAAAATTTTGAACACACCAAGATGTAGTGCAGACAGCATCACTTTAATGCCAGCTGACCTGTTACATCGCAATACCAATACTGTTACTGATTTCCTGTCATAGAATAAAGCAAGCAGCTTACTATTAGTGGAAACAGCATTGAAGTGGGAATCCAGAGGCTTGGATTCAAGATTCAACCATGTGAAGTCTTGGACAAGTCTCCCTGGGCTTCATTTTTTTCATCTCTAACAAGTAAGTGAGTCCATTTCAGACCTTCGGTTTCTTTTAGCTCTAACATTCCAGGGAAGGCTGGTGGAATTGCTCATGAAGCTGGCAGTGAGGATGTGTGGGGAGACACACCCAAATCACTCATATCCCCTGAAACGTTCTGGTGTCCTATTTAGTACCTAGAGTTAGACAAGCAGTTAAAAGAAAATTTTCTACTGACACTTGTTCTGGAGAGAACATCCCTAACTGGACAGGTTAGGGAACTGTTTTATCCTCAGGAAAAAAAGAGATTGGAGTTGCACCCAATGTTTTCTCTCTTGTGCCCTCAAATTTTTGGGCCTATCTTTACCAAAAAGGCTTCCTATATACTAACCAGGGAAGTGCTGAGCTTTTTCAATCTCAGCAAATTTAAAATACTGTTTTGGAAAGAGTGTATCTTTCCTATCCACTGTTTACCTCAGTTTATAACCAACCAAGATATTCTTCCACATTCTGGAATCTAGAAAAATGTCAGGTTTCTAAAGTCACCAAACTAATGGCACTAAAGAATACTAAATACTGTAATATTAATGTTGCTCAATTAGTACTATACTGCTGTGTGTTGATTGATTCTGGACTAAATGCAAGAACTGACCTTAGTTAACAAAATGTCCTCACCAATTTCTTACTAGAACATGCATTCATAAGTCTGTTAAGACTGTGGAAGCAGAAGGAACTCTAGTAGAAAGGGACCTGTTCTAATTCATCTTTTATCCCCTGCATCTAGCATAGAGAGTAAATGCTAATATATGCTTAATGTGTGTATTCATGTATTGAAAAATTCAGTAAACAGATGAGCAACAGTATAGTAAGTAATCAGGCAAATACCAACATTATAAGAATTTTAGTTTTTGTAAATAAATTCTTATCAATTAAAACTAAAATACTGTTACTTTTCCAGAATAGAATCAGATTTCAACAAAACACTTTTAATACTATATGGCACAATGTTTGATACAGCAAAATTCACACAGAGGATTAGTTAATAAAAGATCACATTTTTGTGTGTGGCTTGGGGGGATAAAGGAGATACAGAACCCAAATGGTTTGAATATTCTTTTTAGAGCATTTACCATACAAATTTGATGCAAATAACATTTAATTATTGAATCAAATTGCTGAAATACATTTATTGGTAACATTAAGTTTTAAATATCTATATACCCATAGATACAGATATTCCTAATTCACAAGATTTCAAATACAGAAAATTTAAAAATCAGATAAAAAGTAGTTTGACTAACATGTATTTTCAATATCCTTTGTTGATAATGTCCCAAACTTTATAAAAAGTTAAAATACTGATTTAAAATATTCCTCCCATTATGTTTTTTGTTTCTCATTGACGACAAAGTGGGCTCAGAAATGCAACAAACACCAGTTGCAGGTACACAGATCTCTCCATGATTGTTGTAAAGTGACTGTTGAGTTTAATATTCCTTCCCAATAACACATCGTTATCCATTTGTTACTGAAAGGATTCTCTTTAAAATATCAGTTGTAGACAGAAGAATTAACCAATTTAGTAATGTTTTTGTACTGCTAGCAATAGTGATTATCAATCTTATCCTAGTTTCTTCCCCTGACTGGAATTTTATCCAATTTATTCACAGCCAAAGGAAGAAAGTAAGTTCTGCTGAACGCAGCTCGTTTCTCTAATCATGGCTTCTGGCATGATGGTCTATAAATAACCTTCATTCAACTAATACATTTTAATATTTACTGGATTGAATACTGTCTCTTACGATAAACTGAGACAGATCAATGCTAGGTAAAAGTCTAGTAGCACCCAGTCAATATTACCCTGTGCGTTCAATAATGTGTAATGTGTGTTGTTAATGAACTGTTATTTGCTACATCAATTCTTGGCAATATGGACCAAGGAGAAAAAGAATGAAGATATTTACATGCAAAAAGAGTAAAACATACCCCACCTTCAACGCAGTATTACAAAAGCCACTCACAAAATATGCTAGGCCTTGTGGCAATACCTTTCTTTATAGGTATAATGTTAATAATATGCTTAGGAACTGCTTTCATTCTTTAGTGGTAGATGAATTTTCTTTATGAAATAATATAAAAGAGAACATACCTTTTCACTGATTTTATTTCAGGGTCCCAGTCTTATGGCTTAGGCCTCCTGACAGTATGTATAATTGGGATTTCCTCTCTAGAAGCCCTACTCATAGACATTGGACGCATAGACTGAGACATTCCTTCAGGATCACAGTTTCTCTCTCTTAAGTCAAATAAAAAGGGTGATAAAGCTGTCACAACTTATTAAATGACATAATTCCCCAAACTTTGGGTCTAAACTGGAAGATTTAAGGTACATACTTTCGGAGTACAACTGAAGACACTGCTACCTTTAAAAAGATCTTGACTATAAAGATAATACAAAACCAGATGCTATTAAATTCATCACATTAATGTTACAGAGTATAGTCTTAATACAGAAACAGTGAAGGTCAAGTACTTTTCTATACAGAGGAAATCAGAACTATGCATTACAGGTCATGTTGCCTAAAAACCTATACAGGTAGCCTTTACTGTGGTTAAACACCCAGCTTATTATTAAAAGCTCACTATTTCGGACTAAATGGGAGTAATATTTATACTGCCATAATAAAATCTCTACTTTGAGATAAAAAGGGGGTCATTAGGTAAAAATTAAGTATTTCTAAATAAATGCAGTTTAACTAATTTTATATACACATACTTAACTGATAGTTTTGCCTATAAAGGGTCTTATTATTTAGGAATAATTTTTTAATAAAATGTTTTAAAAGATCAAACTTTATCTGCAGTAATTATTTGGTTAGTGTTTTTTCTTTTTTACACAGTGAAAAGGTAAACATTAACCAAGGTTGTACCACAAACTCCAGGTTAATGAGGTACTACTTTCTCCTTTTGGAAAGAGCAAGGCTGGCTGTAAGAAAATCTTATTACTGGCTGGCCCTTCATTATGGAGGCATGCGGACAATCTCCCAGTAGCAGCAACTAAAGAAATTAGTGATAAAGGCTTTCAGATGGAAGTCAGTGGGCCATAATTTTCAAACAATTCACTACTACTTGAAAGGACTTTCTTGGCTCTGGGATATTCCTGGTGACTTCTCTTTCCCTGCCCTTTGCTCCCTTAAAAGATTTCTTTCATTTCATACTCTTGCAGTGAGTCTTTGCCTTCTCTTCTTTTGTTTAAAATTGGTATTTACAATGTTTGGTGGAACTGGTCTGCAGTATTACAATGCACTAGTGTGAAATGCTTTCAACTTTTATTTACATCAAGACAGAAATTTCTCAAATTTGAGGTACAGTTTACAACAAAAGTCTTTACTTTTAAATTTGGTAACTTAAAAAGTTTCAAATATCAAGAATTTTAGAATAAAAGACTCTTCTCGCACACATTTATAAGTAAAATCTGAATAGTAACCCTCAGACCTACCTCCACTAGTCAGTTACAGGGAATACTGAGAACCCTGACTAGCTTGTCCTTAGGTCAGCCATTCTCTGGCCCCATAAAAAGCTCGTATCGTATCAGTTAATCTTACTATTTCCTAAAACCTAGGATTATTTCATGACTCAGTTTGGTGACACTGAGAACTGCATTCTAGGAATAAAGATTACTAGGAATCTTCAATGTACCCATTTTAGTTTCAAATATTAGCACTGAAGAATTGCATTCTAAACACATTAATGCTTTGGTTAAGTAGTTTTATCCACTTAAGTTTTGGTCACTAAAATTGTCCAAGTGGAGCAATATAAAAACTTATTTCGCTATGAAAATTAGTGCAGATTCTATAAATCTCAAAAAAATACAGTTAACGTTTACTAACTGTAGTTTAAACACAAACATGTGACTTAACTAAAGAGATAAAGATTATCATTTTATCATTATAAATAGTCAACTATGATTCAGGAGCTGATTATCTGGTGTTTAGAATATCAAGTCCCTTGTAGCTCACTTCTGGTTAATTTCTATCCAGTTATGAAAAAAGGGAAGGTAGGGGAAAAACAGGGGAAATCTTAGAACTTATTAGCAGCTCTTGTAAAAGTTTAGGTCAAAGACTTAAAAAAATAAAGATAAAACTAACAGCTATAATGTAGATTTCAGTAAAAATCACCAAAGACAGTGGACACTTATGTTAGATTTTCAAATGTACATACAGAGAAATATAACATTTTGTTGAAAGGTGTTTTGTTGTATACTCTGGTATACATCCACATTATATAGCAAAGACTAGAAACTATTTCTGGTTAGACCTATTTACATCTATAAAAGCTCAATCAGTATATCTTCTGGGAAGCTGGAGTTATGTAAGGTTAAATGCCGTATTTACATACCTACCCATTTATTTTACAAAGACTAACTCTTAGAAGATTACCCAAGCTGTTGCTCAGGTCAAGCTGATAATTAGGAAGTAAACTGAGGCATTTAAGTCAGAAAAATTTGGTCCTATTAATTTGACTATTTTACTATGAATACATTATTTTCTATGAAAATATTTTATATACCTAAACTAAGTCACTTACAAAACATTCTGAGCTTGCCACTAGACACTGCCTACGTCATCTTTATCATTCATAATTTTGTAGTATGCAGCTTGCTGTGGCTCAAATGGAGACTTCTCATTACTTCCATTATATGGTATAATCACCCATGTCCTACTTTGCTAGGCAGTAGAAATATAGATTACTTATATAGTATAGAAAATTTCTGAATCAAAATGATAAAAGACTCTTAACTACATTATAACAAGGGGAAGGAGGAGGGATTCACTCTATAGCAGCGTTTCACACCTGCAGTCATGAAACTCTCATGTTTCATGAATGAACATATAATAAACAAACTCTGAACTACCCTACAATATGTTTTCTTGTAAAATAAAAAATAATATATATGACAAAAACCTAATATATGTACATATCATTACTGTACAACAATCTGCTTTTAAGAAATTGTGTGCCCAGTCATGAATGCCAGCAAGTCAGAGGGGAGATCATCTCATGTTCCAATGCATTTCTGACCTGCGTATCAGGTAACATTTACCAACAAACCATCAGATGATAGGTTAATGATCTAATGATTGCTAGTATGTGTTGTGTACTTTATTATATCAATTTATAATTGGACTATTATTCAATTTTTATTGCATTTCAAACTAGTTCATAAAAATTTGGTCATTTCTAATAGCAATTAATCTGTGAAAACATTTTTCTGCTATACTTTAAGGATATAATATATCTAATTCTTTTTAAAGATGTTATCAATACATTATTTTCAAAAATATTCCATGGTTAAACTGGTTTTGGAAATTGTTCTACTGTGTACAAACACAATGACTGTTGCCCCCAATTTTATTTGACTTACAATGTTTTTCTAGTGTTTCTTTAAAATGTAGAAAAAGTTACAGTTCAATACACACATGCAACAGAGTCATACCTGATTGTTAAAAATTTTTAAATCATTTTCCCACTCCTTTATAAAGAAGCTTTACTAGCTTACATCTCTTTTATGTCAAAAGAAATCTGACTGATTTTTCAATCAAAAACTATTATTCTGTGTTATGATGAACAGACTAATCAAGACAGTGGCCTCCCATTAAGTGTTAGTGATTTATAGGGGATTACTTCATGTTTACACAAAAAATGAAGTTAAGGTGGCCATAAGCTCAGATGTTAAACAGCTGTTTACCTAGTTCTGTTAAAGCATATTTCTTAAGGCACTGTACCAGTCATTGCTGGATTACCTAAGGGTACAACAATCACAGAATAAAGGAACAGAACTGAAGAATTGTACAATCCCACATAAGGTTATATCCCTTACTTTACCAGTTAGTAGGTCAGAAAGGTTTGGTTCCTACGTAACCATCTGTGAGCTTATCTGAATAGCTCTGTAATCTCAACATATGGGCAATACATTAAGGGAGGGCTACTTCTATTATGGTATAGTGTTCAACCTAAACCCAAGGACAACTCTGGTAATAATTACAGCTTTTATCATTTCTTTGTTCATCTCAACTGTCACAAGTTACACCACTCATGGTTTATTATATACTGCTCTTCAGAATGTTCTAGTCTGCTACGTGAGTCATGCAAAACTTGCGTGAAACATGCAAGCAATCAGCCACATCTGAAAGTGCCATTTAGAGTGAATTATATTCAAGGAATCTAAACACGGAACTGGATTCATTCCTGCTGAATGGGTGGATGAAACAAAATCTTTTACATCACCCCGACTCATTTATGGACATTCAAGATGAAGATATGGTTTCTAGTTAACTTCAAAGTCTATTTTCTTTTCTAACCACCTTTCCTCAGTCTTTTAGTGTTTCACACCACTCTTCTCAACCGAGAAGAACTTTCTGCATTCTGTGTGCAGCAACGCTAGCTTCGTCCTCTGAGTCCGATTCGCTCTGGGATGTGGAGCTGTGAGAGGCAGAACTGCAAGGGGACGAGCACTCTGGTGAACACAGGTAGTGCATTAGGGGGAGGCGGTACTTCCCACAGAAGTCCACAAATTTTATTTGTCTGACACAGCAGTCAAAGTAGACTCCTAGAGAGAAGGAATAAGTACAAAGTAATCATTATAAAGCAAAAAGCCAGTTTCTTTTTCAGCCATTTCTCCAGCATTCTGAAGAAATGTCATATACAGTTTTCTCTTTTGTGAATCTTCAGCAGAACTAGATGTTTCTATGGCTATTTATAGAAATATTGGATGGTTTTATAGATGGCATTTTGGCTGCAAGAAGGCCAGGAGATTTATCTTAAATGGAGCTGGCATTAAAAGGACACTGTTAACTTACCTTTTCTCTGGGTGACTTGGTGGACAGTGGCTGATAGAGATTATAGAATACCTCAAGTGCCCTTCCTCTATTAGAGATTATAGAATACCTCAAGTGCCCTTCCTCTATCAACCAAGCCATTCCTTGATATTACTCTATAAAGTTTCTTTAAGTCAAGAAAGTTGAAAAAACACATAAAACTTCTTTAATAATTATCTTAAAGAATTAGTTGGAATACACAAAATTTGCAGAAAGAAGACGAATTTTGGTACCCTTGTTCTTATGTATTGGGAAGCAAAATGAAAACAAAATGCTATCTTACATTTCCACAGGCTCTAAATCCACAGGCTTCAAAGTTGTTTTGTTAATGGCCTCACTTGATTTTCACACAATTATATAATGTTAGGTAGACTGAAACTAGTATTCAGCGCTTTAATTTCTAATTTAGTGCTCCTCAATTGTGGCCCTTCAGCTAAGTAAAAATGTAGCTAGAGCTGAGAGGAAAGCAGAGGTTGCTGTGTCTCAGGGTTCATCTAGAACTCTGGGTCCCATCACTTCTCTGGAGAGGAATCTCAGCCTCTACACCTTACCTGGGTTTTCTCTGACATCAACGACTCTATGCGTAGCACATAAGGGACCAAAATAAAAAGATAGGGTCCAAGCAAAGGAGTAATAATTATTTCTATTTATTTTTTCCCTAATACTTTCCCATTAACTTTCTAATTTTCTAATCCTGTAAGTTAAGTATAACTCATAGTTTAAAAAGGGAAATTCATGGTATGTTACTTTGAATAACTTAGGAAAATAGATAAATTCAATAAACCGGTCAATCAATATTGATAATAAACCCTCTCCAAAATGTGCTAACTTCTTGAAGACAGATGAAGTAACAAAATAAAACATTACAGAATTACCATGAGCTAAAACAGTATAATACTATCTTGTCATTTGTTAAGACCTCAGACTATACAAAGAAAGTATCTCACAAAATATAAAATTACTTTTGTTTAGAGTTCAATAACATTAATGATTCTGAGGGGGAAAACATCAATGGTTCATTTTATATATTACCTCAAATTTGAAACTAATAATTTTTAATTTATTTTTGTTCCTAAGATAAATGACACATCAGTATACTGAAGAAGTAATTAAGAAACCACTTAAGAGGGAAAAGAGAATTCTTATAGAGGCCCATTTCTGGGAAAGGACAGACTTAGGGAAGAGATGAAATACAGCCTATTAAGCCTGAAGGCCTGGTGTGAACCTTATCCCTGGCCATTGTTAAAGCCAACTTAGGAAAGAAAACCAGAGAAGCTGAAGCACTTATTTAGCACAGCACAGCAAACTCTACTTCTAAGAGTGAGTGGCCGGAAATGGCCCAGAGTATTGTCTTTTTTAAACCAATCACGTCTTTTTTCTCTTTTAATATTCTTTCAGGAACTTAAATCATTCTCCCTTTTTAACCTTATAACAGTTTCAGGACATGATGGGACTTCCAGGGAAAATCTCACATGGCTCTCATCATCATTATGTAGCATTTCCTCAGCACCTATCTTTATCCTACAACAGTAAAAAACTTTCTGTACTCCCATCAAATTGGATTATTTTAGAAGTAGTCTTTTATGAGGGAGCCAAAATAAAATGACCTATCAGTCACCAATTCTCACCCAACAGTCCCTGGCACTCCGGGCCCTTTGATTATCTGGCTTCAAGTATCTTTTACTCTTCCTCTCATTACGACCCTAGCTGTACATTTAAGCAAAATTATTACTCATCCAATATTCTGCCCCATACTGTTTCGTCTCCAATTTTACTCTCCATCTGGAAAGTTTCTTATCCTCAATATTACCCTGTGAAAACCCAACTCATGCTCTGAGAATCATCTTATCTTTCCAGATCTAATTAAATGTACTCTCTCCCTCGTTTGATTTCCAATAGTACACTGACTTCCTACTTCCATCTGCCTTACATTGTAGCATTTTTTTAATTCTCTCCAAATGTTCTTAGCTCAAGCAATTGTGAACCATGGATTTAAAATAATATAAAATTCCAGGATACACTCTGAAATCGGCACACATTCAGCCCATTCTCGTATATCTTGAATCATAGTCTATAAAGGAACCTGATACTCAGAATGGTGACTCTAAGAACATATCCCTCAAATAAATATGAAAGGTGGCCAACGTTTTCGAGATTCTTTTTAAGCTATTAGGACTATTTATGCTTCCTTTGTTTCTTCTCAAAGGAAGTGTTTACCACCTTATGACAGCTTCAAGACAGGATGAGACTTTCGAGCTATTTTCTTTGTGTATGAATTGTAAAGTACAATGAAAAGAATAGAAAGAAAAGAAAAAAAGAAAGAAATCCAGACAGGGTAAAATGTCTTACTTCCTGGTAAAAGGGTGAAAGGATGAGGCAACCGGAGACTAACTGCCTTTCTCTGAAATAAGACAGCTAATGAAAACAACATTTGGATCATCAATTTTAAAAATAGCTAAATGAATGGGAAACAAGACACTGAAATAACTTACCTCCACACTTTGGGTTTGGGCAATTGCTGGCTAAACTCAAGTATCTAAGAAGGTTCTCAGGAAGATCACAAGGAGTGTAGGAAATATTTCGAATTTTAATGGTCCGTGCAGCTAATTCCAGGAGAGTTGGTGGGTCATAGATTAAATCTCTAACAAAACGAACAACCAATGGATTTCCTCGCAAACTCAATTCTTCCAAATGAATAAGGTTGAGGATTTCTCGAGGCAGGTATGTCAGCAAGTTATTGTGAAGACTGAGGGAACGAAGTGAATGCAACCTGGAATGAATGCAGCACAAAAACCAATGGGAGTAAGCAAGATTACTACCAAGAAAGGTAAGTGAAGAACTTGACTTCCCCATAAGAATGAGCAATTAAGATTAAGGTCGATGGGAGTAAAATAAAAAGGTGCTGAAACTAGATCAGAGGCAGACTTGTAAATGTCACGAAGGACTTTTGCCCATGGAATCTTAGAGGGTTTCAATACTCAGAGTAGTATGGTGTGCTAGATGAAATATAAATGCTAGCTTTAAAAATTTTTTGGTGGGCGGGGGGGGCCGGCCAAGTGGCGCAATGGTTAAGAACTGGCTTGGGACGCCAGAGGGCCCTGGTTCGGATCCCACATATGAGGGCC